TTTTTTTTTTTTTAAAGTCAAGACATTTTCTCCCTAACGCAAAAACCCTCATTTCATTAACTGTCTATCGTCTTTTCTTTTAATAGTTTGCTTCTTAAAGTCACCCTCTGACGCTTTTTTTTCTCAACAACTGATGAAACTCGCAAATAACAGATCCACAGTGATGCTTATTTAACAAATAAAAATGAGCTTCTAAAGTTTACAGCAAAAAAATATACTGAATTTCGGCCTTTCACTATCGACTATACAGCGAGCGGTTTAAATGAGGTTGACTCACTCCTTGCTAACGAACCGTTACGGCAATTTGATATATAAAACCGGTTGAACTACAACCTCAGTGCTTCACAACTTTAACACACTGTTGTTCTACTGCCAAATGTTTCCTGAGCAGCAAATTTACTCCAACAACAGCGCTGTCAATCCTTCAAGACAGAAAATCGTTGTCAAGCACCAGTTCTGCCTTCTCCTACCGCTTTTTTTTTTTCTTTGAAATCATTCAGGTCTTTTTTTCCCCCAAATTCTAAAACGAAAAAAACTAACACGTCATGTGCCCAACTCGACAAACTCCCTAAAAACGACCACTGTCCATACTTCCCTGAACTTTCAAAAACCGTCCCACCCTTTATAATTTAAAAATTCTTTCTTCGCAACATCACACCACTCCTCACTAAAGTAAACCAACTTTTGGCGAACGTTATGACCAAGATAAGCAAACATGAACAATGACATCATTTCAAATTCCTCTAAATAGCTGATAATTCCGGTTCTCTCAACTGTCACCAAAAAAAATATTTGACAACACATAGCAACTCACAAAATACACTTCTGCAACACCTATTTCTTTTAACAATTCCTTCTACCCCAGCAAAAGACCACTAATTGATCAAAACATTCCACTTGGCTGAAGAATGAGATTAATATCATTAGCAATGATCACTGCTCTTTGACACCCATGATCAGAGTTGAACAGATCTTCAACTGATGAGACGCTCTTCCCTAAGAAAGCAAAAAAAAGCCTCCAAACTTTGGCAAGTTCAGGATCACATGTTAACAGCTGAGCAGCTGAATAACATCCAAAACGTACTGCTGTTATTGAAATTATCTTTTTTCACTATGTCCCACTGTTTAAGGCAAAAATTTTGTCCTTTTGTTTCAAACAGTATAAAAAAGAGAGAGGTGCAGAACAAGAAAAATATATTTCTAAAAAAATTCATATTTTTTAGGCCACTAATTAGACAACAGTAATAATATTACCACAAAATGAACGAGAAAAGTTCTAAAAAAAAACTTTGACAAAATAAAGGTACGAAAGCACTCACTGACAATCCTTCGCGTAAAAATGTCAAAAGTTAATAATAAAAAAATATGAAAAACAAAAACTTAATAGAAAGAACTAATGATAATATTACGCAAAAAAGTAGTCAACCGAGTGTGAAATAATCAATTACAACTGATACACATTGCATATCATCTGTACACCAAGTCATCGATGGCCAGACAATGGGTCCTTTGAAGTCCTATTAATTAAACAGCAATCCTTCCTCCCCCTCCCCTTCCAATTAACTTTCATTACAGCTCTAAACAATTAATAATTTACAGAAAAATATATACATATAAATATCAAAACCTATAAACGATAAAAAATAATAATAACAATGATATTGGTATTGAAAAAACAGTAGTAAACGTATTGCCATTATGGTGTCATAACTGAACTGTAAGCAATAAAACTTTTGATATCACAACAAGTTACGCAATTAAATTTAAGTAAGAAACAAAAAATGAGAAAATACAGAAAGTAAA